AACATTTAATGATTTAGTTACAAGTGAATTTTAAGATGCAAAAAGAAATATAAAAAGGGCTTAAAAACAAACGCAATGCAGGAACTAAAAATTTCAAGACAAAAACTCTGAAATTAAATTAAGGTTTGAGGAAAATATATATCCATGCACACTATTAAAAGGGTTAAAAAGACACAAAGAAAAATTTGACAGAAGGAAAGCAACAAAAGTCAGAGCGACAAATTATATACAGTGGTGCCCCGCTTGACGATTACCCTGTGCCACGACGAATCCGCTTTACGATGATTTTTTTTGCGATTGCTATAGCTATCGCGAAATGATGTTTAAATGGGAGAAATCTGCTTTACGACGATTGGTTCCCTGCTTCGGGAACCGATTTTTCGCTTAATAATGGTTTTGAAACAGCTGATCGGTGGGTCGCAAAATGGCCGCTTGCTGTGCAAAATGGCTCCCCGCTGTGTTTAGGACTGATTGCTCGCTTTACAGGCACCAGAAAATGGCCACCCTGTGGAGGATCTTCGCTGGACAATGAGGTATTTCCCCCATTAGAACGCATTAACCAGTTATTAATGCATTCTAATGGGTTTTTTACTTTCGCTTGACGACAATTTCACTGTACAGCGATTTTGCTGGAATGCGTTATCGTCAACAAGAGGGGCACCACTGTACTAATACTCAGTAAATGCTCACACCATTGGTTTTCACTGCTTAGGGGCTAGGAATGCAGGAATGAAACAAAATACTTTCTTCTATGTCAGCTAGTCTTGGGGAGGAGTGTTTAGCTGTTCCCTCATTATAGAAAGCCCTAATGAGCCTTTCTGCACTATCAGTTCTGGAAATCTTATCATGCATTGGTACATTTTCCCATGACTTTCTCTCCTCAGCCTAGTGCTATGCAAAAAGCAGTAGGCATGTGCTAAGCAAATTTCTGTGCGAATTGACATGTCAGTGCCACATTATTTACACAGCACACTTTTGTTTCCTGATGGTTAGAAGAAGATTCTTGAGAGAAAAGGCTTTTGTTGACTTCCTGCTTGGTGAAGACACTTTACTTTGCATCATGTTAGTTTCTACTGGAATCTTTAGTATCACCACTAGATGGGAAAATAATGTTTTGAGGCCTAACTTGAAATTATATCAGTAGGCAGGAGGTTCAAACAATGCAGCTATTTGCAGGGAGGAACCCTGT